ATATATATATATATCAGGTTCATTTGTGCTTCCGCTATTGCACCACAAATTCTGTAGATTAGACTTCTTACCCTATAACCCTGCTAGGCTGTGGAGAAGAGGAAACTCTAGTGTCAAGATAATGGACTTTTTATAAAAATCTATCTAGAATGCAGCTCGTGTTAGCATTGCCATTGATCAGGCAACTGTAACCTTTTCCCTTCAAGCTATGATTTGAAATATAAGTCAAGGAAAAGAAGGGGCTTACTAAAATGTCACTGCTGTTCCTCCAGCCTGGAGGTAGCAGAGGAATTCAGCGTTCATATCTGGTTTGTTTCATTCTAGAGTTGCAAGTCCCAATGTATTTCAATGTTCTATAGTTCTACTCTTAATATAATTGATCTTATATTAATATCCAAAGATATGATGAGGATTTGTATAGTGGTAGGTGCTACACAAACTCAGAATAAGATACGTTTGACTCCTGGAGAGTTTTAAAGACAAGCCACAACAAGCAAGAGCAAAATGAACCCATGCTGGATAGTAAGAAGATAACATGGATTATCAATGTGCACCAGTTTTTATTAAGATGTAAATCCCTGTCCTACTTTTTTCCTTCTTTTTCATCTTCAGAAATAGTTAAGAACAGCTGTACATTGGCCAATCGTGATAGATTTTCACTGGGTGCTTCCAAGGGGTGTTGCTGTCACTGTTACTTAAACCTGTTGTAAAGCAACACAGAAGCACAAGACGCCAGGATTTTTTCCGAGTAATTTTTTTCAGGCTTTGATTTCACAGTGCTTTCTGATGGTTGGTCAAGAAATTACAGACTTCACTGTGATTACAGCCTTGTTCTGGAAGCTAGAAATGTCTATGTCTGTATGAGAATTTACATCACAATGGTAGTGTGCATGTTGGGACTGTTTTCCTTCTGCAGGTACACTCTCATGCTAGAACTCACATTTTAACAGATGGGTTCTCTTCAGTTGGACAAGGTGCTGTGGGAACAGCGCAATGGAAATTGTCCTGTGTTTGCATTTTTTAGAAAGATATGAAGAACACTGCCCTGCTGAAGAAATTCAAGAAATAGGTTATTTACAATTATTATGTTGTGATCTGAAAATAATATTTGAAAGATCACAGTATGCTATATTTCTATACTGTCAAGGAATCTCGCATTATCTAACATTCCTCAGATTGCAATCGCATTAACGGAGTGCAAGTTTTTCATATTATCCTACTATGTAAGCAGCTAGCAATTGATGATGTGTCTGTCAGTTCCACAAGCACTAAAAGGAATCAAGTTTATGTGACTCTTATGGGAGAATGAAGCTAAGCCTGAATCCTCAGAGGTGTTTAGCTGTCTAATTCCCATTGATTTTAATGCAAATCGAGTACATAAATGTCCCTTGTGAATCTTTGTCATTGTTCCCAGGCTTCTCGATTGCCTGGCTTCCTAAAATACCGCAGTGCTGTGCTATGATTGATCACTTCTTCCGACGGACAGAGTTCAGAAAAAGAAGGTCGTGGTTATGGTTGTGAAAGCCCTAACACCTCATGAGACAAATTATAGCTTCATGCTGAAGTGTTCTACAAAACTGCTGTTTGTAGCTGTTGAATTCTCCTTTTTCTATTCTAGCCGTTTCATCCGATGGTGAATTTGGAATGCTCCAGAGATTTTCGACCATTTCTGTGTGCCCTCTATGCTCCTGTGTGCATGGAGTATGGCCGTGTCACTCTCCCTTGTCGCAGACTCTGTCAAAGAGCATACAGCGAGTGCTCCAAGCTCATGGAGATGTTTGGGGTCTCTTGGCCTGAGGATATGGAGTGCACCAGGTGAGTAAATCTGTTTTTTTCCGAATCCCAGGATAAAATTTTAGTATGATCTAGGATGTTTTATGATCTGAAACAGACGTTTTAAATGTGTTCCATTACAAGTGCCCTTATTTTCCCTTCCATTTGTGTAACAACCTGTTTCCTGGGGTGGAAACTGAGTTCATATTTCTATCATCTACCGAAGAGATAAATTGAAATTTCTGTGGGCAATTACTGTAAACTGCATATGCATATTCTTAAACTAATGAATATACCTGTCCATTTTTCTTCTTCTTTGTCATTTATGCTGACCTGGTTTTGTCTGCTATACCGAAGTTTAATAGGTGATACTGCTATGAATTTCTCTGAGAGTTAGGCAAAATTACATATGCTAGAGATTGATAGTCTCTTTTTCTGAAGGGGGAGCTGGCTGTTTCTGATGAGTGTGTAAAATCTCAACACTCTGTTTTCAGAGCATCTACCTCTTGTTGAGGTAGTAGTATCGGTGCTCGGTTGGATTTTTGGTCTAACTAGCTCACCGTCCTGTCTGATAGCAGCTAGTACAGTTGCTTAGGGAAAGGTTTTAAAATGTTCTATCAAGTCATGCTTCCTCAGGCACAATAGTCTCAGTTTACAGTAAGCCTAAATTTCTAGACTTTCTGAGGTGGATTTTGTATCGTCACCTTTATGCTTAAAGCCCCAATGGGCCCCCTTGTCCATTATTTCTCTGTTTTATTTTTGAACCTATTTTATAGTTTCAACATCCACTGCATTCTGGGACAATGAGTTCTAGAGTTTGTTTAAACATAGTGTAGTATTTCCTGGATTACCCATTATTTGGATTGTCTTTGCTTTTGCTCCAGTTAGTGCGTCTAAAGTCGGACATATAAATAAGCTAGTCTTTGCAAAGTATGTGTGTATTTCTTGTAAATGATTCTTTTCTTATGTTTTAGATTCCCAGATTGCGATGAGCCATATCCTCGTCTTGTTGACCTCAATTTAGCTGGGGAGCCCACAGAAGATGCCCCAATGGCAGTACAGAGGGATTACGGTTTTTGGTGTCCTCGGGAGCTGAAAATAGACCCTGATCTGGGTTACTCTTTCCTGAGGGTACGGGACTGTTCCCCTCCTTGCCCAAATATGTACTTTCGGCGTGAAGAGCTCTCCTTTGCTCGCTACTTCATCGGAGTGATCTCCATCGTCTGCCTTTCTGCTACCTTGTTTACTTTTTTAACTTTTCTGATCGATGTCACAAGATTTCGCTATCCAGAAAGACCGATAATATTTTATGCTGTCTGTTACATGATGGTGTCATTAATTTTCTTCATCGGCTTTCTGCTTGAAGACCGAGTAGCATGTAACGCATCTAGCCCTGCCCAGTACAAGGCTTCCACAGTGACTCAGGGCTCTCACAACAAGGCTTGCACCATGCTTTTCATGGTGCTCTATTTCTTTACCATGGCTGGCAGTGTTTGGTGGGTCATTCTTACCATCACGTGGTTCTTGGCAGCTGTGCCAAAATGGGGCAGTGAAGCAATCGAGAAGAAAGCATTGCTCTTCCACGCCAGTGCCTGGGGCATTCCAGGAACTCTAACCATCATCCTCTTAGCAATGAATAAAATTGAAGGTGACAATATTAGCGGCGTATGTTTTGTTGGCCTCTATGATGTGGATGCATTAAGATACTTTGTACTTGCACCTCTCTGCCTGTATGTTGTTGTTGGAGTTTCCCTTCTGCTAGCTGGCATTATCTCGCTCAATCGGGTTCGCATTGAAATCCCGTTAGAAAAAGAGAACCAGGACAAACTAGTGAAGTTCATGATCCGGATTGGCGTGTTCAGTGTTCTGTACCTCGTGCCACTGTTGGTTGTAATTGGCTGCTATTTCTATGAGCAGGCTTATCGAGGTGTGTGGGAGACGACGTGGATTCAAGAGCGCTGCAGAGAATATCACATCCCGTGTCCCTATCAGGTGAGGAAACTGATATGACTTATTCAGGAGTGCAGAAAATGGATAACGAGGGGATATGTTAAGACTTACTTGTCATTCCTAAGTGAAAGTGCTATTCTTGGTTCTTGCCATACTCAAATTATTTGGATAATGCATTAGGCCTTCTGGAAGCCTAGGTATTATTGGAAAAGTGGAGGCTTGCATCAGCTGCCTGATGGGGTTTTTTTTTGTGGAGTTTCTGGGCTGTATAGGACCTATACAGGATATAAAGATGCTATTGTAAACCAACTTCAAAACCAGCACTTAATAAGTTTATTTTTGGTCATTAGAGACATGTTAGAAGTTTTGCTCTGAAGGAATTTTGGCATTTAAACTGAGTTGTCATCAGCCTGATTTCTGCTTTTTCTGTTTTTTGTTGTTCCTCTGTAACAGTTTTGTTGCTTTGATTAGCCTAGAGGTTTTCTGCTCATTTTAGAGCAGTCTATGCACATGTCAGAAACGTCTATATAAAATCTTACTTGAAGTGTCTTCTGAAGAAAACCAGAGCTTACAGCTCATCAGTTTTGGTGTTTTTCAAGAGAAATACGCTTACCTGCTCAATTTGTTTAATTGAGTTGTCAAGGAACAGAAGCCTCTAAGAGCACTAGATATCAAACTGTCCTCTGTTTACTTCAGCATTGTGCTGGTGCGGTTGCAAAGAAAGTATTGTAAGGATTAATTCCTTGAAGCCTACTTTCCTTTTTGAGCCAAAGTGGCAAATTGGTTTTGGAATGATATTGCATAGATATTTTCTGCATCTTATTTGAAAGCAACTTTATTTCAAGAAGGTTGTACAGCAAGCATCTATTATATAGCTGCACACACAGGGGTATAAAAAAAAAGTTAGTATTTTGGCTCTAAAGCAGTTAAAACACCAGCTGGATCATCAAAGCTCACATTTTAATGCAATAAAATATCACTTAAAGGTTTGGCTTAGTCTATATAGCTTGATAATAATCCTTTTATTACCTTTTAACCCTTTTTATTGTTTTCTCTGTTAGATTTTTATTAGGGTGTGACTCTTCCCTCCCGTCCAATGTGTGAGCATTTTTATGGCAGGAAATATCTGTCAGTGGGTGTGTTCAGTTTCATTTACTTGATTGAGACTTCAGTGCTGCAGGTTTTAATATGTTAAACTGACAGATGCTTAAAAAGAGAGGAAAAGAGGGACGTGTGGTTTTCTCTCAGTTAGTTTTGAATACCCACCATATGCCAATCTAAAATTTCTATAAGAATCTATAAAATTAAAAGGATATTGCTTTCTCAGAATGCTGAACAAAATCTATGTTAAACCTTGAAACCTCTGGTGTCTAAGAGCTAAAATCCTGGCTAGTGAAAGAATGAAAACATGTAGTAAAATGCTACTCAAACCTCTAAAAAACTGTTAACATAATGGCTCAGCGGGAGTCAAAAGAACAATAATGGTCTCATTCACATCAAATTGGGTTGAAGGACCCGTAGACCCTAAGGAGTATTAGAAGGGTTTTTCTTCTAACCCATCCAATTTTTTTCCTTCAACTGAACATGCTTCCCTGATTAAACTATCCAGACTTACAATTGAAACAGATTTACAAAGCTGTGGGGAAAAATAACTTACATCATGCTACTAAAATATACTATTATATTAGGGGAAAATTTAAAGCTTTGTGGAGAGTATCACTCACTTGCAAAATAAGACCATATTTTTTCTAAGCCTTGATGTTATTTAACTTAACTTCAAATATTTGAATATCAGTTTCTGAGATTAGACTCTCCTAAACTGAGAGCTGTAGTTGGTTCCACAGTGGTCATAGGTTTTATGTACAAAACCTACACAGGGCTGTGGTAGTTGGAATTTGCTGCTTGCATAGGCACAATTTTTCCAACACCAGCAAATCTGAGGTTAAAAATTAATTAGTCCATTCAACCGTTACATCAGCTCTGCCATCAGAGGATGATGCCACAATAACTCTTTCTGGAGAGTTGCTAATGGGGGAGTTGGAGTATGCAGCTGTTACAGACATGTCTCCCTGCCTCCCTCCTGTGGGACTGCTTCATGCGGGCGATACCGTGGGGTTAATAATTTGCTGCAGATTCTCCTGGCTGCTGCTAAACCAGAGAGCCTCGGCAGCTGGTGTTCACATGAAAAATAGACATCGTGTTTGTTTGGCTACCTAAAGGGCTAAATACTTACAAAATGCAGGAAGCAACAAGATACCTTGATGCTTTGATCTTGATTTCTGGCTACCTGGGTGTTTCCTGGGTTGACCTGGCTACGTATTATTGTGGTTATTTGTCAGACCTGAGAGGCATCTGTTGCTTTCCTTGTGAAATAAAAACTTTTTTGCCACAAAGACAGGAGATCAATATCCCACTATTCCCTCTCTTTGAGGAGTAAGCGCAGGGAGAAAAGGAGCTCATATTACCTTACCTTGCCCTCAGCGTCCACCATGCTCCAAGTTTCTGGGAGACACGAGGAAGGAGGGGAAGGGTTTGTAGAAGCTGGCAGGAGCCCGCTCCCCATGAGCACATCCCAGTCCTCAGTTTTATGTAGCACCATGGGCTGCTGCAGTTCAGGCAGCAGCTTTAATCTGTTGCTGGGCAGCAACAGGAGGTAAAACAGGCAGCAGTCCTCCCTCTCCTACCGTGAGGGCTCAGATGAGCTCTGCCATCAGCCATCAGACGTTGAGTGGAGTGAATATTGTTTCCTTGAGTCTCCTGTAGAAAGGAAAAAACAACTACTGCATTGAGAGGTGAGGTTTATTTACAGTAGATGCAATGTATCTAATATGATTAAGAAATCTAGTTGCACTTTCCCCGGTCTAGGGGAAGTGCGTTCTTTTTTGTGGATGTCAACTTAAATGGGCAACTCGGGGAGTTGTGTTTTGTATCAGCCTGGATAAATCTCTTAATTTAGTTAACAGTATCAAGGTTGCTATATTAGAGCATCCTTCTTTCAGTATGAATAATGGCAAATTGACTAAGGTGTTACCACAAATAATTATTTTTATCGGTTCTGATGCTAGGACCATTTGCAGTAATTGCAGTGGTGTAATCCTTCCAGTCAGTATTACTTCTCTGTGAAATATCTGCTCACAGTGGCCTAAAAATGTCTTAACCCATCCGCCTCCATTTTCACTGCAGTCGGAACTTTTCTCTTTTTCTGGAGGGGGAACAGTGCCTTTGTAATCTACTTTCAGCGCAGTAATATTCAAATGAGGAGCTGAATTTTATGTTTGTATCCCACTTGTCACTCATTGCCTTAAAAAATGAATTCATGCTTGGCCTCAAAAAATGGGTTAATGTTTCTGTGCAAGAGGAGTTAATGAATGGAAAATGAAATTAATTTTCACTAGCTATAGAACCTGGTACCTGCATCATAAACGTGGGATTTTAACTGGGCTATGTGCATTACATGTTCTTCAGGTCAGACTTTTATCTCGTATAGAATCTTTTTTATGAGAGTATAGCACAAATTTCACATCAAGGTAAAATGCAGAAATGAATGGAAAAAAAGCAGGGGAGTGTGACACAATCCAGTCATGTAATAATCACATCTAGTCATCTCTTTTGCTATGGCTGAAAATACATACTTTACTGCTTCTCCTCCTGCTTCTGTTTCTAACAGTGGTGGTTCTACAAATACCATATCATCATTGTTCAGAGGGCAGAGCCTTGGAACACAGAGTTGGATTTTTGTAATATCGGGCTCAAGGAGGGACGTCTGCGTGCCCCTATTGCTGTTCAGTGTGGTGATCATCATCATCTCTCCAATAATTTCACCAAGTTCTTAACAAGTTCTTGGTACTGGTTTGGCTTTTTAGTCTGCAGTCCTGACCCAATATTAGCTTTCAAAGTTTGTCTCTTTCCTCTCTTCGCAATTTCTGCCTTGGATCTTGATGGAGCATGTCATGCTATGGGAACTAAATCAGATGAAGTGGTAGACTGCGATAAAATGTTGGCCAGTCGCTTTAGAGAAGCACAGAATCGCTGAGGTTGAAGGAACCGCTGGAAATCATCTAGTCCAACCCTCCTGCTCAAGCAGGGTCAGCCCAGGACTGTGTCCAGTCAGGTTTTGAATTCCTGTTGCCATAAAAGCTGTAAATTCCTTTCTATCAGACATCTAACCTCAGATATGGCTGATGAAAGGTAGAAAGTAGGGTAAAAGGGAAAAACAAAAACTTTGAAGTGCCCTTAGCTGTTGTTATATATTCTCGTCCTCCAGGCACCACCGTGTTTTGTTCTTTACAAGGAGAGTGTCAGAGTTTTGTTCCTCTTGGAAATTACAAAGGCAAAGTGGGACACAGTGACCTGCCCCAGTCTATGAAAATATGTCTCCGAACTGGGATGAATTTGGCTACAAAGTGAAACAGATCCTCAGCAAAGTCTGTCTCCAAAGCTGGTTGTAATGTACGTTTCTCTTACGACAAGTAGGAGTTCAAATGGTCAGTACAGCTTTTCTAGCCCAGAGAAAAACAAAGGGCTGCATCAAGCCAGAAACATTCAAAGGTGGAAGACAGTGATAATTGTCATCTTCCCAAGACAAGGAAACGTGTCTGCTTTCTTGGGATGGCAGAGTATGATGTTAAAAGCTTTTGCCTCTTTTTTTAGTCCCATAATTGAACTGCCTAAGGTAATTTAGGCCTGGAAAGGTTTATTGGGCTGAACCACAAAATCAGATTTCCTGCAAAGTAAAGAGGGTCCTGAGCTAAGATTCGTTTCTCTTAAATCCAAATGTAAATAGACTCTCCACAGTTTTCTCGAATGCTTCAGGGCTAGGAGAGGCACTGTGCTGATGGGAGAGACATCTAATTTAGATAATAAAGAGGAAAAAAAAAGAAAAAGAAACTATTTCAAAGACATTTGCTACCCTAGTGGGAGTCCTTGCGAAATGAAACTAAGCAGTATGAATTACCTTTGCTTGTGGTCTGATGATATTCGTAATTTCCCTACTCACCTGGCTTCACTGGATTAAAAGACCTTGGTGCTGGGAGTGAAGGTGG